CTCCACATAGAGCTCCCTATGACCCAGCAATCCCACTTTTAGGCATTTACCCAAATGATCACAAACTAGACCACACTAAAGCTACCAGCACAACTATGTTTATTGCAGCATTATTTACCATAGCTAAGATATGGAACCAACCTAGATGCCCCTCAGTAGATGAATGGATCAAGAAAATGTGGTGTATATATACACAATGGAATTCTATGCCTCCAGCAGAAAGAATGACATTACCCCATTTGTTAGGAAATGGAAAGACTTAGAAAAAATTATATTAAGTGAAGGAAGCCAGGACCAAAGAAACATAGGTCCCATGGTTTCCGTTATGTGCAATAACTAGTATATGTCTGAGATATGCAGAAAAGGTCAGATATGTTGATGTGAGGTGAAATGAATCCCAAGATAAGGATTCAAATATTTTTGCTTTCATGCAATTGTTTCTAACATATTAATAAGATTATTTCTTTGGTGCTCTGTAGGTCCCTCCCCCACGGTATAACCCCTGCTTTCACTGTATTTATTGTTGGTATAATTTGTGGAGGGGAAGGGAAAAAACAAATCGTTTAAATAGGGATACAAGTGGACCCATTGCAACAATGAGATGTACAAATTTTTATGTCGAAAAACGAACTTTACGATTGGAGAGGGGGAAGGGGTGTGTAAGGTGGGGAGGGGGGGAGATGGGAAGGGATGGGAAGGGGAAACAAAGGAGGAGACACAATGCTTGATAAGAAATGTACTCATTACCTTGCCCATGTAATTGTAACCCCTCTGTATGGTATTTTCACAATTAAAAAAAAAAGAAAAAAAAATCATTTTAGCGCCACAATGTAAGTTATGTCTTGCATGTTTTGCCAACTCAAATCATTTACCTTGTAAAATTTTCTTGATATTCTTGTATAATTAATGTTTTATAATTCATAAACATATTAATGATCTCACTCTATTTTGTATAATCAATATTTATTTAAACAGTAACAAAGGAAAAAATTAATAACATATATAAATAAATGGAGAAATCATAAACAACAATTTAAGTTGATATACTGAAGTATACTGAGTCTTATACTCAGGTATACAGAGACTTTTTTTTTTTTTTTGGTCCAGTCATGAGGCCTGAACTCTGGGCCTGGGTGCTATCCCTCAGCTCTTCACCCCAAGGCTAGCACTCTACCACTTCAGTCATAGTGCCACTTCCGGCTTTTTTCCTTTTGCTTATGTGGTGCTGAGGAATTGAACCCAGGGCCTCAGGCATGCAAGGCAAGCGCTCTACCACTGAGCCACCTTCCCAGCCTATACGGAGTCTTATGCTTAGTCAGTACTCAAATCAAGAAACAGAAAATTACCTTCTGGGATGTCCCCTGGCTATGTCATTGATACTACACCCTTGGATAGCTCCTGATTCTGCCACTTGCTGATCCTCTAATACAATGAGAAGTACACTTGCAAAATATTCAGAAAGTGAACATCTTGAGATTTCAGTTGTTTCTTCCAAATTGTCTGGCTTCAGTGGTGAATAGAGGGAATGGAATGAGATTATAACAAAAAGTATGTCACATTCTAAGTATGAAGGACCTATATTGCCAGCTTTCTCTACTTTTTTTTATAGCCCCAGCTGTGGAAATAGGGGAACATCTGGACCCATCAGGGCACAGGTCATCATTAGAGTGCCTCCTGTTGATTACTGAATGTTCACTATAATTAGACGGAGCAAGTCTCAGGATTCAACAAATTAAGGTGCAGCAGCGAAAAGGCAAAGTTGGAGCAGGAAGTGCACAGGTAAAGCCACTTACATCTTGACAACACTGGGAATAGGGCATGATCATTGGGACTCTGAGAAGGATAAGTAGAGCCTGGCTGTTGCTGCTTTATCAGAGTGCCCACCTTAAACATGACCTTGAGACTCCATAGGTAAGTGCTGCTGATTGCTGGAGATGGGGGATGTCTTTGGCTTTGTAAAGGAAGCTGCTGTGATAGGGCAGGTCAAGGTCAGGGAATGAGAAGATTCTCAACTCCCCTGTCCTTTAGAGAAGAGGGAAGGAGACAGAGCATAATTACCCTTGTTATTTTCCTAATTGTTTCCAAACTGCCACTGCTTCTGTTTCAGTGACCTATGGAGGCCACTGTGGTTGATACATTATATTCAATGCCGCTATTTTATATCCAGGCCAAGGAGATACTGAAACACTGGGCCTCAATGGCATGTCAGCCTGGATGTGTGTACACACTTCTGCTCTGTGTTTTCCCTGAAGACTTTTTTTTGCCAGTCCTGAGGCTTGAACTCTGGGCCTGGGCACTGTCCCTGAGCTTTTTCTCTAGGCTAGCACTCTACCACTTGAGCCACAGCACCACCTCCAGCTTTTTCTGTTTATGTGATACTGAGGAATTAAATCCAGTGTTTCATTCATGGTAGGCAAGCACTCACCACTAAGCCACATTCCCAGTCTGACTTGGTGTATTTTTGCCTCACAATAGTAGGGGTTTTATTAAAGCTGTGACTTCTTTCTCTTTTTTTTTTCTTGCTGGTCCTGGGGCTTGAACTTAGGGCCTGAGTGCTGTCCCTGAGCCTCTTTATACTCAAGGCTAGCACTCTACCACCTTGAGCCACAGTACCACATCCAGCTTTTATTGAGTAGTTTATTGGAGATAAAGAGTCTCATGGCCTTTCCTGCCAGGGCTGGCTTTGAACCACGATCCCCAGATCTCAGGCTCCTGAGTTACTAGGATTACAGGTGTGAGCCACCAACACCAGTCTTCCATCTTATTTCTTGAGTCCTTCAGACTTCATATAGTAAAATACCTTTGCCCTTTTTATTAAAATTTTATTTATTCTGAATTTTCTGTTTCCTACATCCAGAAATATCACATTATATAGTATTGAGTTGTAAAAGGAGGGAAAGAAAAACACACTTGAGAACACATAATGATATTAAATTACTTTTAGAAAATTAATCTTAGTTCCTTGCTGGTCACTTTGCTAAGTACCTAGCCTCAGCTCAAAATACACTTCATTCTATATGCTTTCTTTGTCTCTGCTTTATAAATGAGAACATTGGGTCTTACACACACACACACACACACACACACACACACACACACACACACCTGCATGCACACACAAAATGTGATCAAGTTCATGTGTTCATGCATTGTAAGAATTGGGGAAAACAGCATGTGAATTTTAGAGTAGTTGACTGCAACGTTTCTTAAAAATCTTGAATTTTATTCTTCTCAAGTTTAATGATATCTTTGATATTCCAACATCTGAGAAATGAATACTCCACCTCACCTAACTCCTGAACCCCGCCCCCCCCCACATGCTATTTGCAACAGAAAACCTTAACTTGACTTGATTCACACAGCCTGCATTTTGTTGATCCTTGTATCTAAGGTAAGAAACTTGTGAATGCTTCTTAAAATATTCATATAAATTTCTGATCCCTACAGCCTCCAGATTTGTAATAAGTGTGTAGATTTTCTAACCCAGATGAGATACTCTTCAAGTAAGCGAAGATATGCTCCTAGTTCTAAAAGCTGTTATTGAATATTTGGAGTATGTTTGAAAAATAATCTCAGCAGCAGCACGTCAATGCAGAGATAGGACAAATGAGAATTAAGGATAATTTAAAAACCTCTTAAATGATGGACAAATACGAACAGAACTAACGTTGCCATCTGATAGTCTATGCAATTATGAGAAATAAAGCAAAAGGACTAGATTTCTATTTCAAAAGTTCGTTTTGACTATAATAGAAGATAAAAGAAAAAGGCATACAATTTATAAAGTAGTTATGCAAATCACAAGGTGAGATATTAGAGTATGGACTTGCTTGGTCAGTTATTTCTATGGAGAAAATCACTAAAGTAGACAAATCTCAAATAGCAGAATTAGTAAGATGTTCCACTTACCTAGGATCCATGGTATCAGAGCCTGACATGAAAATTGTTTTCCTGATGTCCATTTAGGGTAAGAGGAAGTTCTTAGAAAAAATAGAAAATAAGAACAGGATATATAGGAAGAAAAAAAGAATTCAGTGCCCTTCTGATCCCATTTGTGGTATAAACTTTCCCATGTTATGAGGTCATCCTTGAGAAAAGAAGGTTGGCTAGATTTTTCTGCTCTCCTACCCTTCTAACTACTGTGTTCCTTATGTTTTGATACTCATGAGTTTTGGACTTCTGTTAGAAGTTACATCATTTTACCCTTATGCAGTTCTTTAGAGAAGCAACACTTGTATTTTAGCTTTATCTTTATTGCTTATTTGAGGGAAGAGTGTTTATGAGATGCTAAAGAGGGTCTAGGGAGAAGCCCCAGTACAATGTGCTAGGCTGAAGCGGGGAGGGGTTCTTGGAGAAAGAGTGAAAGGAAGAAAGCATCTGAACTGATTATCAAGATCATGGCTCAGAAATTGAATATTACCTTTTTTTATTTGTCTAGGAAGAAAATGGTATAAATAATTTTAAAGATGAGGAATATGAAAATGGACATTTTCCGGCTGGGAAGGTAGCTCAGTGGTAGAGCACTTGCTTTGCATGCTCAATGGCCTGGGTTCGATTGCTCAGCACCACATAAGCAAAAAGAAAAAAGCCGGAAGTGGCGCTGTGGCTCAAGTGGTAGAGCGTTAGCCTTGAGCTGAAGAGCTGAGGGACAGCACTCAGGCCCAGAGTTCAGGCCCCACGACTGGACCCAAAACAAAAAAATGAAAATGGACATTTGCAAAGAATGAATTAGCATGGGATTTGTGTCTAAGTTATAATAATCATTATCTCCATGCGAGTAGAAGCAAAAAGAAAAAGCATCAAAAAAGTGAGATTTCATTGATCAAGATGCACTGTATTCATAAACTGCTTTGTGGAATGGCAATTCCTTTGGACAACTGCTTTACAAAAATTTTCAAATAATGAGGTCACATATGTGTTAGGAAATTTAATGTATTTCAGGAATTTTTTCATTAAAGTAAGTAGGAAAAATTTTCTATTACTTTTTGTTGGTTCTAAAAATGTTCAAGAAGTCAGACGTATGGACTAAGTCCATACAGAGAATCATCTTCCTTTCTCTTAATGGACCTGGAATGGTGGGGAATACTTTTATACTAATGAAACACATGTATACTTTTGTCATGAGTCCTGAGAAAGAAACCATAGACCTTATCCTTATCCCCTTGGCCTTTTCTAATGCAATCATTATTTGTAACACAGCGGTAAGAGAGATAGCCACTGTTTTTTATTTCAGAAATTTTCTAGGTGATGTGGGCTTACAGTTTACAACTTGTAGTTTATCTGGACAGACTGGCTCGAGGGCTTTCCATCTGCACCACCTGTTTGCTCAACATGGTCCAGGCCATCACCTTCATCCCCAGGACCACCCAGTGGAGAAAGCTCAAACCTAAGACTGCATGGCAGGTTCTCCCCTATCTCCTCCTCTTTTGGTTCTTCAATTCTCTGATCAGGTGCAATTTGCTCCATTATATCACAGCAGTCAGTAGCATGAACAGATCTGAAGTTAGAGTGAATGTTGACTATTGTTATATGCTACCATCTAGGCAAACAGTAAGATGGCTTTTCCTCTCCCTCATGGCTCTCCGGGATGTGATGGTTCAGAGTCTCATGGGCTGCAGCAGTGGGTACATGGCTTTCCATCTGTATAACCATCACAAGCAAGTCCTCTACCTTCAGAGCTCCAGGTTCACACACAATTCCAGCCCAGAAATCAGAGCTACTATAAGTACCCTCATTCTCATGGCCTGTTTCCTTGTCTTTTATTGGGCTGATTTCATGTTTTCCTTCTACATGGGTTCCACCTTGAGAAATCATTTCATAGTATTAAACATTAAAATCTTTCTAGCACATGGATATGCTGTTTTCAGCCCTTTGGTCCTATTCGGTCCAGATATTTGGAGTGCTAAATCCTGGAGGGCTCACTGATAGGTGCAAAAATTAATTCCTCCATGAACTATAGATGTGTACATGAGGAATGGCCCAAGTCTAATACCAGGAAAATTGCACATTTTTTTCAGCAATTCTAGGAAGTTAGACAGATTCTTGCCAGCCTCCCACCTCTATCAAATATGTGACTTTCAGCTTCTCTTTTCACTGGGAAAAATGCTGGAGGTAACACTGTTGCCAGAAACCAGTATGTTTTCCCCTCAAGTCAATTTTTTTAATCTGCCAAGAATTCCAAACTATTTGCCACTTTTTTGTTCCCTCAAACAGGCTCAATCCTTATCATTTCAGCTCATACTTATTATGTGCCAGAGACCTTCCTTCAATAGCCTAATAGCAAATGAGGAAGAAAGGTGTCAGGAAATATGTATGTGAAGCTGGCTTTTAGGGCAAAGCAGACATGATTAGTGAGAGACTCTAACACTAACACAAAATGGATTCAGCTGACAATTGCTTCCTCTTACTAGGTTCTATAGCCTTAAGGAAACTGGTAAGAATAGAAAATAGAATCCACCTCCAAACCTTTCTTTTTTTTTTTGGGTCCGGTTATGGGCCTTACCTCTGGGCCTGGGCGCTGTCCCTCAGCTCTTCAACTCAAGGCTAGGCACAGTGCCACTTCTCGCTTTTTTTTCTGCTTATGTGGTGCTGAGGAATAGAACCCAGGACCTCATGCATGGAAGGCAAGTGCTCTACCACTGAGCCACCATCCCAGCCCACCCCAAACACTTTCTTTAGAAAGCTTTCTTTAAAAAGTTTCTCCTTGGTTTGAAAATGAGGCTCTACATAGAGGAGACATCTGTATTCAGTGCTCACTGCAATACAACTCACAATAGCAAAGAAATGGAAACCATTTGAATGCCCATCCACTGATGTAGGGATTTAAAAAAAACATGATATATAACATAACACTGTTCAACGTAAAGATGATCACATTAAGCAAACTAAGCCAGGCACTTAAGGACAAGCACCAGGCAATCTCATTCATATGTGAACGGTGAAGAAGTGATGTCAAAGAAGTTGTTGAGTGGGTGGTGGATAGCAGAGGCTCCAGTAGACCACTGGAGAGAAAAAGATGGGAAATGTTGATCAAGGTATACTAAGTTAAAATTCGACCTGAGTAAGGGTTTGGGGTATGCTATATTACTGTTGAGTGAGTATAAACAAGGATAATATAGTATATATTTCCAAAATGTTGGTAAAAATATTTTGAATGTTTTTATCATAGAGACATGTTCATTCCTGGAATTGATACATGTGTTTGTCTTAATGTGAACATGATAAAATGAGTACCTATGTCAAAACAGCAAATGATACCATTAACTATGTATCACTAGATGTCATTTAAATAAACATAAAAAGAAATGAATTGAGTTGATGAAACGTCTCTCTCAGAAACAGAAACTTTGAAATCAACTCAAGCTTTATTAAAAGACTACCATCTATTTCTAAATCTGCACACATAAATGAGGAAACCGGAGTAGCTCTCAGCCAGTATTGCCTTTCTCTACAGGGAAATAAAAGAACCTCAGTAAGCAAGGCTGCCAGTCTTCACAGAATTAAGAGGCAACTACCTGTGCTAAAAGGATGCTTCTTGATATAATTTTTTTTGTTCGATACTAGGACTCAAACTCTTGATTTGACACTTTCAATCATTGGGTGCTCTACCGATCTGAGCTATGCCTCTAACCCCAATCATTTTCTTAAGTGATATTTAAAAGACAGTTTTTTAGGACATTTGAAAAGGGGCCAAAATGTGATGGTATATGCCTGTAAGCTCAGTGAGAGACAATAAACAATGAGAAGGATCATGATTCAAGACCAGTACAGGAAAAAGGAAGTTTTACATAGCTAGGTCTCATTTCAATATAAAAGTTGGATGTGTATTGAATCTGTAATCCCAGTTACATGAAAAGAACAAGTAAAGCTGGGAGTTGATGGCTGACACCTAAAATCTTAGCTAATCAGGCAGTTGAGATCTGAGGATCACAGTTCAAAGCCAGCCTGGGCAGGAAAGTTCATGAGACTCTTTTCTCTCATCCACCAAGAAAAAACTTGAAGTGGAGTTGTGGTTGAAGTGATAAAGTACTACTCAAGCAAAAGAGCTCAGGAGAGTTGGGCACTGGTGGCTTATGCCTGGAATCCTAACTACTCAAGAGGCTGAGATCTAAGGATCATGGTTCAAAGCCAGCACAGGCAGGAAAGTCCATGAGACTCTTATCTCCAATAAGCCACTAGAAAACCAGAAGTGGTGCAGTGAATCAAGTGCTAGAATGCTCCCCTTGATCTAAAGAGTGCAAGGACAGCGCCCAATCCCAGAGTTCAAGCCTCATGACAGACCAAAAAAAAAAATAAGAAAGAAAGAAAAAAGCTTGGAGAAAGTGCCCAGTCTCTGAGTTCAAGCTCTAGGATGGGTCAAAAAAAAAAAAGACACATTAGGTATACAAGGATCATAGTATAAGACAAGGCCCCAGGGAAACAACGTCATACCCAGTCTGAAAAATACCTAAAGCCTATAATGGCTGAGGACAAGGTTCAGTATGACAGTGTCTGCCTAGCAAGGAAGAGTCCCTGAGTTCAAATCTCAGTACTATATACACATATTGAAATAAGTATTTTGAGAGTAATCACTTATCTCAAAGCAGATTTCTACAGAACTTACTGAAGAAAATGTCAAATGCTCTGTAAAAGGGAAGTATAAGTAAAACTATGTATATATACATATAAAACATATTAATTATACTATGAAATTACAATATGTACTAGTTTCGATGAAACACAAGTTGAAAGTGAGAGAGACTAAAAATAGAGAACATCAAATATTAACTTCATTTTTTTCATTAATACACATATAGACCAACAGACAAAACTCATAGATAAACACATAACAAGTAAGAAGAAGAAAATTCAGCAACTTTAATCTATTGTTAAAAAATTATCATCAAATCTCAATATGTGTGACAACTTTCAGGTACATATAGTGAGACTGATGAAATTTCCAAAAATACCCTGTTTTGGTTTTCTTTTTAACCATTCTCAAACTGTGTGAAGGGAGAAAATTTTCTTCTTATTTTATTTAGTGTCATATTACTTTTCCAAACCATAACATCATCAGCATAGTGACTTTACAGTATTTCTGAAAGTAACAGTATTAGAACATTATAATTGGCTTCTATTATCACACATAGGAGGGCATTTATTAGCTATCACCAAGAAAGTTAAAGAGAATATTCAAGGCTCATAAAAGATACTGCATTGGGAAAAAACCTAGTTGTATAGAATCTCGATATTAACAAATTGATAATTATTGTTGAGTGCTTAAAGTATGCAATACAACCATGAGAATAAGATAATGCAACTCTATCACAAATTCATGCTCTTCTACTTGAGTTTCCATGTGACACTCATCCATAATCTTAGGCCTTAGGTTACTCATGTCCCAAGGAAGCTTGAAAGATCTTGGTACCAGTGGCTCAGGCCTGTAATCTTAGCTGCTCAAAAGGATAAGATCTGAGGATTGTGATTCAAAGCCCAGACAGCAAAATCCATGAGTCTTATTTCTAATTAATCACCAATAAGCCAGAAGTGGAGCTCTAGCTCAAGTAGTAAAATGCCAGCTCAGTGAAAAAGCTAAGGAGCAGCACCCAAGCCTTGAATTCAAGTCTCAAACAGGCCAAAAATAAACATATACAGAAACAAACAGAACAAGAAACTCCTAAAACACTTTGACACACAGAATGAATTCCTAACATATCAAAAACGAGGCCCTCAGTAAACTGAATGTCAGAATAAGGGTCAAATTGGGAATACCAAGTCATTCTTTCACGATTGTCCTCCTATCTAATGGTTAGACTTCACCCATTTCATCATACAATCATCCATGATATGAACTACTGTGATAGTAAAAGACACTTGAGTAGGACCTAGGTCAACTACATTGTGACATAAGGCCAAAAAGATGATATGCTTCCATGATAAATCTTACTCAGTATTTCAGAGTCTGATCTCCATGATAATTCATAGCTTGGAACTCTGGGAAGGCAAAGACAAGTCTGGAGACATGGGAAATTCTACATATGGAAACCAGCTTTGTTGTTCACTTTCTCACTTCACATCCTTCTACTAATTAAACCCTAATTGAGTCTGAGATAACTTCTGAGTCAAATTCATGTAGTAATTGTGAGGGGAGAGGGAAAGTTGTACTTCAGGGATTCATAACCCTGACAGGTGACATCTGTGGAAATTGACGTCTCCTTGGTACTTTCTGAGAGCCAAGAGTGCTACAAATCCTGAAGGTACAAATACGACCTGGAAAGTCTCTTCTTGACAGAAGGACTAACCCAGATCTTGCCTGCACCACAGCTATCAAGGTGAGTAAACTTGCTAATTCTTTGATGCGCTCTGCATGTATCATGTAATTTCCTGAGAAGAATAAGTTTTAATCTTTCTATGATTAGTCAAAGGAAGACATAGAGCATC